CCCCCGCCGCCGCCGCCGCCCAGGCCGAGGCCGAGGCCGAGCCAGGTAGCGCCGCCTGATGGCCACGCGCCGCCTCGCCGCCACCGCCGCTGCGGTCCAGCCCCGTGACGCAGCGCCCCCTGCCGGCGGCCCTGGGCTCTGGGAAGAAGCACGCTGGGGGGCGGGGCCGGCCCGGCCCCGCCTCGCCCCGCCCCGCCCCGCGCTAGCGGTCGCAGCTTTGTGAGGTGCTCCTTGGCCCAGGAACAGCGAGGGCGGGAGCGTACGTCAGGAGTGGTGCTCGGCCGCGCGGACACGCCCCTAGGGCCGGGCCCCGCCCCCAGCCCGGCGCGGCCCCAATGGCCGCGCTTTGTAAGGCGGTGCGGATGCCCAGCTCGGAGCGCGCGTCAAAGGTCGGTGCTCGGCCGTGCGGACACACGCCGGAGCCCCGCCCCCCGCAAGCGGCAGTGCTGTGTGAGGTGGCTCCCTAGCCAGGGGAACGGCAGCGGGTGCCTGACGCCCGACGGGCTCTAACACGCCCCTGAGGCTGGGCTCTGCCCCTGGTCCCGCCCGGCTTTGTACGGCGGCTCACTGAGGGGCGGGGTCCAGCTGCGAAGAGGCCCCGCCCCTATACCGGTCCTGCTCCCCACCCCACCACTGGTCTCGCTTTGTGAAGCTCTGGGTTCTTGGGGAGGGCCGGAGTGAGGGGCGGGGACAGGACGTAGGGACACGGCCCAGCCTGTGGCTCCAACCCCAGGGCGCCCGCTGGAAAAGCAGTTTGAGCATGGACTTGGCCTCCGCACGCCACCTGTGCCCCCTCTCCGAGCACTCAACCTCTCCTCTCTTCCCCATCATCTCCAGCCACTTCCCCCAGTGCCCTCCTCCTCCATCCTTGGCCCTTCACTGTCTTCGCCCCCCCAAAAAAATTCTTGGACCTCTCTTTTAGCCCCTTCCCCCTCACCCCAACTCACTCTCCCTTCCCGCAGTGATGGCTGACCAGTGAATCCAGCAGATCAGGGCCTAGTGCCCCTTTCAATACACAGATACACACTCCCATCTTCCCTCCAAGTCCCCCCTCCACTGCTCCAAGGCCCCCATTCTCCTCTTTGGTGGCTTCCAAAGGTGCTTGCGGCCGCCCGCCATCTCCAGCTGCCACTCTTCCCGGTACCTGCTTTTTTTTTTTTTTCAGGCCCCACCGTGCCGCTTGTGGGATCTTAGTTCCTCGACCAGGGATCTAACACGTGCCGCCTGCATTGGGAAGGAGGAGTCTTAACCACTAGTCCGTCGGGGAAGTCCCTGGACCTGCTCATTTACTACTCATTCTCCGCAAGCATTCCATCATTCCACCTCCTGTATTCACCAATGCAAGGACTTTAGCAGAGACCCCACATGGCAATGCCCCCCTCCCTACACCCCCATGGGCCTCCCCATACACCACCCTGACTGCATGCAGTTGAGGGGTACTGCCCCCTCCCCCTCCCCCTGCAATCAGTGATTGGACCCCAGAGGTCCTGGGCTTGAAGGAGTACACTCCACAGAGGCCTTGGGAACAGCTCCAAGCATTATAATTAATAACTTAGGCATGCCAGCAGGGCACATAGAATATAACCCCAGGTACCCTATGCTCCAAAAACCCAAGTCAGGTGTTATTGGGCTTTTGCATGGGACGGTGTGCATGGTGTCCACACCATGTTATGCATGGGACGAAGGAAAGCGGAGGGGCGTGTGGAGAGCTCAGACTTCATAATGGCCCAGCTCCTTCCGTGGTGGTCTGAAAAGCTGGCAATCCAGAGAGGCTTCCTGCTTTCTGTCCAGCCTCCAGGCAGATGCTTGCACCCCCTCTCCCACTCCTGCTCCTCTGCGAGGAAGGTCCCAAGGCCAGGGCGCCCCCTTCATTTCCTCTGTTCACTGCCCTGAGGAAGCAGCAGCCAGAAGTGCCCAAAGTAGCTGGAGGGAACTGAGACCCTACAAAGCCCAGCCAGCTCAAGGGGGAGGGCTGAACGGAGGGCACGCAGATAGAGGGAAGGGCTCCCCTAGCAGGCCCGGAATGTGCTGAATTCTGGGGGATCAGGCGAGGATGACGTGGAGGTGGGCCTCTTCCGTGTCCCAGAGTTGCCAGGTGTCGCAGCAGAGCCTGAGGGAGCATCCTGGGTGGCTGCGTCTTCTTCTGAAGTCATTTTCTTTGTCAGTGGAGGAAAAATAGAGAACCGGGTGATTTGGGGTTTCAGGATCTCAGGTTGCCCCATGTTCTGAGCCCGAGACTCCCCCAGTCCATCGGGTCTCACCTCACCCCCCACACACACAGCTTCAGCGCCCTGATCCTGCTGTCTGTCCTGCCTTCCTCTCTGCTGAATAGGGAAGCAGACAGCCTGGGATCGAATCGCAGCTCCCCCTCTCCCTAGGGGGTGTGATGGCCCCCTTTGTGCCTCAGTTTCCCCTTTTGTACAATGGGGGAGAACACCAACACCCCCCCCCGGGGTGGCTACGACTCATAAATATGAACACTGTATGGCATAATTTCTGTGTAAAATCCAGAATAGGCAAATCCATCGAAGCAACAGAAAGCAGAATGGTGGGTGCCAGGACCTGCAGTGGGGGTGAAACAGGGAGTTGGTGTTTAATAGGGATAGAGTTTTATTTTTTCTGGCCACACCGTGCAGCTTGCGGAATCTTAGTTCCCCAGCCAGGGACTGAACCCAGGCCACTGCAGTGAAAGTGCTGAGTCTTAACCACTGGACTGCCAGGGAAGTCCCGGGACAGGATTTGTTTTGCAAGATAATGTTCTGGGGATGATGGTGGTGATGGTTGTACAACAATATGAATACACTTAATGCCACAGAACTGTACACTGAAAAATGACTAGAATGGTAAATTTTATGTCTATTTTACGATTTTTTTAAAAACTAGCAACGATCACTAGAATTTACTGTTAAGGAAAAGAAGCGTCGTTCATAACAGTGTGGTTAGCATGCTGTCATTTGTGTTAAAAAGAGTGAGGATATAGACTTGCGATTTTTGCCTTTGCTTGTATGTGCAGGAAGCTCCTAATGGTGATTTACCTGTACGTCTGTGTGCAGAGGGGGAGACCAGTGGGTGGAGAGGGATTAAGAGAAGAGAATTTTACTATGTATATAATTTTGACATTTGGATGTATTTCATAGTCAAAAAAATCTTTAACTAAAAAAATATATTTTTAAAGTCACCAGAACTAAGATACTGAGAAATAAGTTATTTTTCTCCTTCCTTTTCTCTGTTCTCCACCTTTTCATTTTAAATGTCTTAAAAAAAAAGGGGGGGGGGCAGGCGGGTGCAGGGGAGGCAGTAATCACCAGGCTAGTGCCTTGAGCGGTGTGACTTCCCACAGGTTTCAGAACTTGCCCCGCCTGCCAGGCTTTTCGTAACAGCTCAGGATTTGTTCCCTGAGCTGAGATCTCAGAGGGCTGGACAGGCCGGTGCCAAGCCCCTTCCTTCCCACCATCTGTATACCAGTGACTGGGGTCCAGTCTCCATCTGCTCTGTGGCAGCGCTGGGTGAGGTGACCTGTCTCTTGTCTCTCTGGAACTCTGCCACGCCTCCTTCTCCCTCGGCCCACTCATCCACTCCAAAATCAGTGCCGTGTTTCCCATCCCCTGAATCTACCTGACCTGCATCTGTTCGCTTCTTCCACCTCCACTGCCAACACACTGGCCCAAACTACCCGCCACGTCTGGCGCCTGAACCACTGCCGGGTCCCCCAGCTCCCATCCGTCCAAAAAAAAAAAAAAGGGGGGGGGGGCAGGCGGGTGCAGGGGAGGCAGTAATCACCAGGCTAGTGCCTTGAGCGGTGTGACTTCCCACAGGTTTCAGAACTTGCCCCGCCTGCCAGGCTTTTCGTAACAGCTCAGGATTTGTTCCCTGAGCTGAGATCTCAGAGGGCTGGACAGGCCGGTGCCAAGCCCCTTCCTTCCCACCATCTGTATACCAGTGACTGGGGTCCAGTCTCCATCTGCTCTGTGGCAGCGCTGGGTGAGGTGACCTGTCTCTTGTCTCTCTGGAACTCTGCCACGCCTCCTTCTCCCTCGGCCCACTCATCCACTCCAAAATCAGTGCCGTGTTTCCCATCCCCTGAATCTACCTGACCTGCATCTGTTCGCTTCTTCCACCTCCACTGCCAACACACTGGCCCAAACTACCCGCCACGTCTGGCGCCTGAACCACTGCCGGGTCCCCCAGCTCCCATCCGTCCACGGTCCCCCACAGTCTATCCTACAAGCAGCCGCCAGAGGGCGCCCGTGAGCACATAGAGCACGTCAAGTCCCAACGTCTGCCCTGAACCTTTCACGGCTCACCCTTCACTTGGGGTCAAAGTCAAAGTCAAAGTTCCGCGCGGCTCCCCTCTCTACTCCTCACTCCGCTACACCCCTACTGGGCCGTGCCAAGAACGTGTCCTGAGCCTGGATCAGTCCTCCGCAGCTACCTCCTGCTTGTCGCTAATCTCAGAGACCTCCCGGATCTCCCACCTAAGTGAGCTTCCTGGTCACTCCTACCCCACGTGGCATTGTCTCTCTCTCCCTGTAGAATTAAGAAGCTCTGAGGGATGAAGGGCCTCATCTTGTTCTTGTCCAGATGCCCAGGAAGGCTATGTTGAACCCATCCAAACCTCCCCCCACCCCCCTATGGTACCCCAAGCCGACTGACTCCACCCCAGGCTCCCTGACTGAAGTCCCAAAGCGTCCACTTACACAAATGGAACTTCTGAGGCTGCCTCAAGGGGGAGGCACCTGCACCCCAGACCTGTACCCCTCTCTGCATGGAGAAGAGCTAGCTGGACATTTTCTTTTCTCTTTCTTTTTTTTTTTTTTTTTTTTTTGTCTGGGCCATGTCGCACGGCATGTGGGATCTTAGTTTTTCCCACCAGGGATCACACCCGGACCCCTGCAGTGGAAGTGTGGCGCCCCAGCCACTGGACCACCAGGGAATTCCCCTAGCTGGACATTTTCTTGATCCATCGTGTCCAGGGGTCGGATATCTCTAATTTAGTAAACTAATAATAATAATAATAAGTACCCCAAGGCCATCACAAGATGCAGCTGTGTAGAGGAGTCCCATAGACCCGGGTTCAAATCCCAGCCAGGACACTGTGTGATCTGGGGGAGCAACACCCCTTGCTAAGCAGGGGGTGGGGAGTGGGGGTGGGAATGGGGGTTGAGACCCTCCCCCTTGAAAGGGAGACGCATGTCTGGGGCAGCTAAGCTGAAGTTCCTGAAACTGAACACAAAAGTAGGCTTTTCTTTATACCAGGAGTGAACCACAGTGTGCGCCAGATTGTCACAAGGCTCCATGACCCCAAAGAAGCCACCAGGTCACCCTGAGTCCCTTGTCACCATTCTGAGTGCAAAGGCAGTGCTGACAACCAGGGGCCTGCCCACTGCCCCACGAAGGCCTGGACAACGTGCCTACCTCCAATCCCCTGGAATTTTCCAGTGCCAACTCTCAGCTCACAAACAATCCCTGCTCAGTGATTCTGGGCTTTTCCCAGACCCCAGAAGCTCAGGGACAAACAGGTCAACCCAGCCTGGTGGTAGCCCCAACCTTCCCACGGTCAGGACAGTCAGCAGAAAATCGGGACGGAGAAACAGGACGACTTACGGAGATGGTAAACAGGGAGTTATCGAAGGACATGTCTGCAACAGAAAGAGGAGACCAGGGTGGGGGCCGGTTCAGATTTCCTGCTCACCGCCCTCCCCAGCCCCTCCCCGCAAGCCCACAGGCCCCAAGTCAACCAAGAGGAAGGGCATAAGGTCCATCACCCCTCATCCTCTTTGCCCCCTTCCAGCCCATTCTACAGGGTGAACTGTGCACAGCTACAAATTGAACTGTGTCCCTCCACTGCTCAGAACCCTCCCTCAGGGACCTCTGGCTGCCCTCTGGGAAAATGGTGCCTCGTCTCCACTCCCACTTTCCAGAACACCTCTCAGCTCCTCCCCCACCCTGGGTTGCCTGCTCTTCACCCGGCTACTCCCTGCTCCCCCCTATAGGTCTCTGATTCAACACCACTTCCTCTGGGGACTAGCCTCCTAGCCCAGACAGGGTCCGGCCCGCCATGGGCTGTTTCCCCACTGGAGTATGGGCTTGTGGACAGAAACCACCTCTGTCTTGGTTATCCTGGGAGCCCCCGGACCTTAGCACATAGTCGGGGTGCTCAATAAATACGTGAGACAGTGAAAGAAGTACAGAGAATGGAGTTTTCTCTGCTTGGAGCCCCTTCCTGGGCATCGCACTTCACAGGCTGGGTCCCTCTCCCCACCCCCAGTGGAAGCCAGCAGAACAGCACATTCTGGACCACAAGTGGGGCTCCATTTAAGGACGGTTCCAGGCACTGTGAAAGCCGGGTGCCCTGATGGTGGACAAGACAGATGCAGTTCCCCACCCCCTTGGAGCTGATGGTCCAGTGGTGGAGGCGAGTGTCACACACCCAAGCACGCAATGATTACTTAATTGTGTTTCTACTGAGGGCTAAGAGGAACGACAGGGCTCTGGGGGCATGCAAGTAGAAAGAGTTGATCCTGCCTAGGAAGTCAGGGAAGGCTTCCCGAAGGAGGCGACCTTTGACCACAGGGAGGAAAAGTATTCTAGGCAGAGGGCAGAATGAGTGAAAGGCATGAGGATGAGGCAAGGAGAGGTAAGAGGTGAAAGCTGTTCACACCAAAAAAAAAAAAAAAAAAATAGGTGAACCTGGTCAGGAAACAGCAGGGGATAGGGGAGAAAGAGGGGAGCGTGTGTTCTCAATTCTAAGGGAAGTGAGCAGCTGTAGAAGGGGCTCAGTAGCGAGTAGTGAGACCCGATGGCATTTTGAGGCAGTGACCCTGCCCCGGTGAGGGACAGGAACGGGGAGGCACAGACCTGTCGTGGCGAAGTTAACCTGGGCCCAGCAGGATTCTCGCTCCCTGCAGAGGGTTTCAGGAGAAAGTGATGACTTGTCTCAGGCAGGAGGCTCGTTCCAGGTAGCCCTGGTCAAACTTGGCCCTTCCTCCCCACCCCACCTCCGCATGCTCCCTGAATCCCCTCAGATGGAAATTCTCTCGCAGGAGCCCCACAGCCAGGTGAAGTCAGGATTCCATCACCAGGGCTACTGCTAGTTCTCTGCCACTAGGCAGCACCGTGTCCACCCCTCTCTCAGAGGGGAGAAACCGAGGCTGGAGCCAGTAGATTCTGATGCCCAGGAACCAGGGCCACTGTTTACAGGCTACAAGTTGGGCGCTGCACAACCCCAGGGGGCACCACTCGCCTCTCCCACAATTGTGGATTTCTAGAATGATTACTTAGCAAATTTTGGCAACTGGCCATAAAGGGATGCGAGGAAGCCTCAGCTTCCTCATCTGTAAAATGGGGCCATTCCTAGTGCCTGCTTCCAGCGCTGCCACGAGGATCACGTGAGCCCAGGGTCCAGAGTCCCGCAGCACAATGCTGGGCGCACCGTAGGCGCTTCCTGAATAGCACCTGTTTCTATTAAGCCAGCCTCCCACCAGAAGACGCTGTTTGGGGTAGAGCCCTGGAAGGACCCTTCTTCCCCCAGAACCCGGCCAGCTATCAGAGTCTTTAATGGCCATCAGGAACTCCTGCCTTGGGACTGAGTTTTCGTTCCCCAAAACCACCCTCTGAGGGTCTCCAGGGATGGTCTCACCGTTTCTTCTGCAAGTTTTTTACTTTAACTGGGAGAGAAAAAAAAAAAGCATTTGTTAGATTTTGGTTCTGGTTGCATCCTGGTTGCAAAAAGCCAAGAAACCAAAAGGCCCACATACATTTGTAGCCCAGCCTTTTCCTTCTTTGCTGGCAAATTTCCCACTCAACAGGGGAGCTACTGAAGACACTTTTTTTCCCCCCAATTTCATGATCAATGTATGTCGGTAAAAACTTCAAACAGGGTACGAGCATGTAAAATTGTTGGGTTTTTTTTTTTTTTTAAGTGCACGCCATGCGGCTTGCAGGGTCTTAGTTCCCCGAGCAGTGACAGAACCCGTGCCCCCTGCAGTGAAAGCACAGAGTCCAAACCACTGGACCACCAGGGGATTCCCGCTTAATTTTGTTTTTAAAGACAGTTCAGTGGTGCCAGGGGCTGTGGGAACGGGGAACGGGGAGTCGGTGTTTAAAGGGGACAGTTACAGTTTGGGAAGATGAAAGAGTTCTGGAGATGGATGGTGGCGATGGTCGTACAACAAAGTTGATATACTTAATGCTGCTGAACTGGACACTTAAAAAGGGTTAAAATGAAAAAAAAAATTTAAAAATAATTAAAAAAAAAAAAAAAAAGGAATTCCCAGGCTATCCACTTTCACTGCCAGGGCCCGGGTTTGATGCCTGGTCAGAGAACTAAGATCCCATGAGCTGCGCAGCATGGCCAAAAAAATTAAAAAATAATAATTTTTTTAAAAGGGTTAAAATGGTAAATTTTATGTCATGTATATTTTACAACAATTTATATATATATATATATATATATACACACACACACACACATATACATGTATATATACATATATAAATTACCCTTGCCCACCACCATCATCGAAATTCTGGAGGGTTCTTCACTGCTAAACCTTTGTAGTAAGGACTCCCAACTGTGCTCCTAAAAATGGGTGTGAGTGGGAGTGCATATACAAGTTCTGGTGGGCCATGCTTTCTCTGCCTGCCGTTACCTTTCCTGACGACCAACGCAGTGGTCACCAGCCCAGCGAGGAGGAGGAAGGCTCCAGCCAGGCTCAAGGAGAGTGCCAGGATCCAGGTGGGCACTAGAGGAAGATGGGAAAAGAGAGATTGGGCAGGTCATGGAACTGTGGGGTTGCAGGGAGAAGGTGGGACTCCTGTCATTCCTCCATTTGGTTTGGGTGTTGCTAGATCCTGGGCATCTAGCAAACCTGTTTCTGGCCAATTAGCATATTCCCTCCCCCTGGCCAACCTGATTGGTTCAGGGAGGGGCATGTTGCCCAAGCTGAGCCAATGAAAGTAATTTCTGGACTTTGGCTAGACCACTGGGAAGAGAGGTTTACTCCTCAGGCCAGCGTTACAAAGCTGGTAGGTTATACACCTGGGGCTCCAAGGTACAATTTTGACACCCTGAGAGGGAGGGCCTGCCTGAGAATAAGACACAGAAGAAAGCAGAGCTGAGAAGTGGCACATGATTCCTGACATCAGTGAGCACCTGCATCCAGCCATGCCTGAAGTCAGTGCTGTTCAGTGAACCAACAAATCCCCTTTTGTCGCTGAAGCCAGTTTGAGTCAAGTTTTCAGTTACTTGTGGCCTGAAGGGTCCTGCTGGCTGGGTGATAGGGGGTCAGACAACATCCACCCCCAGTCACATGGTGGACCCTGAGGCCCACACAGAGGTCAGCCACAAAAGCATGAAGGCCCAGCTCCAGTTAATGTCTCTGCAAAAGATTCGGCTGCCCCTCCCTGGAGAGAGGGGGAAGCCAACAGGAGATGCCCTGATCCCAATGCAGGTCAGGAACTAGCCAGGAGGGGAGGAGAGGCACACACTTGGTGTTCTGTGTTAGCCCTTGTTCATTCATTCGCCTGGGGCAGGAGGGGTGTCAGTTCCCCACTCTGAGACCACAGGACCAAGGTGAGAGAAGGGGGCCTTTGATTGTGGAACTTGAGGCCAGAGAAGGACACAGAGACTGTTCTGTCATCACAGCCGGTGGGCCTCTGCTGGCAACAAAGTTCTCTCTGCAGCAGGAAAATTCTGACTGATGGTGAAGCAGAGACTCCACCCAGAGGCTCCTCCTTCCCTCCGGCTCCTTGATCCAGAGCCCAGGCCCAGCCCCCTCTCCTGCAAAGACCAGAGGAAGACATCAGCCTTCCCAGGGCTTCTGTCTCACTCAGACGAAAAGCCAGAGCCCTTGCTGCACAAGACCCTGCACAATCCTCGTCGCCTCCCCCCTGCCCTCATCTCCCCCACCTTTCCCCCTTGCTCACTATGCTTCAGCCGTACGGGGCACCTCTATGTCTCTCAAACACACCAGGCACGCTCCAGCCCCAGGGCCTTTGCACAGCCTGCTTCCTCTGCCTGGAACACTCCTGCCCCCGACACTCACGTGGCTGACTCTTCATCCTTCAGGTCTTTGCTCAAACGTTTCCTCCTCAGAGAGGCCTTCCTTGGCCACCCTCCTCTCTATTTAAAATGACACCCTTGGGAATTCTCTGGCCGTCCAGTGGTTAGGACTTGGCGCTTTCACTGCCAGGGCTATATTTCATCCCTTCACCAGGCTATATTTCATCCCTGCCACTTTCCTTGTCCCCAGCTGGCAGACTGAATGTTTACCAAACTCCTTATTTATCGTTTGTCCCCATCCCTCGGAATGTCAACTGTGAGACATCAGGGACTTTGTTTCATTCACTGCTGAAC